TCTACCATATTTACGGATTAAATTTTGAATTTACTTCTTCGTTGAGAAGTTTATACATTCTATAAAATATAAACGTTTGATGACTTTAGATGTCGCACCATGGTCACCACTTACTAAGAGTACGTATAGGATTAGGATAATGAATTCTAGAATTTTTAAGATTATACTTTCAGTACTATTAAATCTGGGATCCTGCATTACAACGCCATAGCGCTATTTTATTAAATCCTAAAAGAGTTCATATAAAGGCAGTTGGTATAAGCAAATATTAATATAATTCTAAACATTAGCTGTCTCAACTTTGAAACTAGCAGTCTGAATAAAATAAATGCAATTGGCTTGAAGAATGGAAGGAAATTGCGACATTGCAACATAGATTTTTTTAGCATACACAAGTCTCTTTGAAATAAGAATTTAATATATATTTCAAAAGATAAAAAAAATTAAGTTCGATGCTTATTTCCATTATATACTAATTTCGGTATTATAATCGAAATTATAGCAACATTTTTATGGCTGTATTTCTTGTTGCAACTTCGATGTTCACAATGTTCTTACTTAAGGTTTGCAAAAAGATGACTGACTTGAACGTTTACAACGTATAGGAAAATTGGTTAGAAATTTTATTCCGAGTGAATGCAAACGAGACAGATATTGTAAATTATACATAAACTCGAAAATGCATCAGGAAAGATCTTATCACACAGCACTTGTTAAAAAAGGGCATCAATTCCACGAGTTTAATGCGCAGATGTATCTATATTTTCTATTTTATATAAAATCAGAACATAAATAATACCAGTGCAAGCATTTTTCCCAAAACCAAAAACATGTCGTTTCATTATTATTCAACACGTCGTATAAAGAAAACTTTAATACGATTATTTGTGCACTTCTTTTCCATCTTCTTGGTGTTACTTTTCGTGTTTTTTGTCCTTCGATATTTCTATTCTTTCAGTGACAATAACAATAATATTAATGATAAATACGAAAAAAACGTTAATTTTGAAGATTATAATTTTGACGAATTGCCAGATGATTACGCAGTCGCCAATGAGGACCAAGCATATGAATTTGGATTCTTCGAAGGTTATCCGATAGTTTTTCTGACTGATAAACAAAAGACAAAAATAGATCAAGAACAAATCGCTAAACTCATAAACAAAGACTCTCCAGAAAATAATCCCTTATTGTCATCAAAAAGACTCGATCCACATTTACCCATAACGATAATAATATTCGTCATCCCACCAATTGTTTTACTGTTCCTAATAACTATCTTTTACATCTATTGGAAATTCTTTCTTGTCCCGCGAAACATGAAAAAAGTAAATGTACGGTATATCAAAGCTTCACTGTATTGTCCAGACGAAGAAAAATGCGGCAAAAATAGGTGTGACGCGAAAATCGATGATGACAATAATGACGATCCTCGACCGTTTATTTCACTAAAAATGAAGCCAACTGCAAACTTGGTTCGGAAAACAACAGACTTTGAGCGTGGATTGGATTATGAAGATGTTGATTACGATGATGAGTGTTGCGCTTTTTATTCTGGTATCAACAACGAAGAAAGAATTGGATGGTCGAAGAAAAAGAAACAAGAATTTGGATTTTTTTGAGCAGAACTTAGAAATATCAACCTATAGATGTTTCTCAAAGTATTGAGAAAATTCCATGAAAATTTTATTAAGAATTTTAAAAAAAATGCGAAATAAAAAAATAAGTGTATTATGAATTTCTATAGATAAAAAGACCAAGAATGTACGCAATTTCAAATACTCTCAAAAATCAAAATATCCTCTTATTTACGAATTAATGACCTCGTCATTCTATCTATACCACAACAATCCGAAATCAGGTCTCGGAAACAAGAACCTAAAAATACGAATAATAGCCAAACTCGGTTAATGATCAAAATTCAATGATTGTTGCTTCCTCTAGACCCCGTGGTTGCTGTTCAAACAACTATTACTCCTAAATATCGATATCCAAAAGTTCGTTAGGAATCACTGGTGTCACGAGTATCTTTTTGAAGTATTGTTGCTCAACACCATTACTGAATGGTATAGATATACACGCAATTTAATAATATCCACCATCTCAACAAATGATTCTCATTAAAATGAAATCAATAATTATTATCGTTATCGTTATTACAAACTAAAATACTAAAATGATCTATTGTGCATGGTACAGTAACTTCTTTCGAATCGACTGAATAACACGATTTAAAGTTTATTACACCAAGAATCTTTCTCATTCGGATTTTAAATTTAACTTTTTTATGATACGAGTTAATCAGTTTTTTTTGAGTTTGAAAAACAAGACGAAATAACTGGCATTGAAACCTGTACGTATAAAAGCAACTTTGTTCAGAAGAAAAAAAAAGAAAAAATCATGGAGAGAGAGTGATACACACATTTAGCTGCAATTCGGCGTATAAAATTAATTAAATTTCTCGATTAATTCTCGTTTTATTTTTACTTTCGCATCATTCATCCACCATAGACAATTTTACAATTTTCTCGGTCTATGCTCAAACATCACATGTCACGTTTACGTTATGTTACGTTACTCCATTTATCGAAATTTTTTTGATTATATGCAAAATATGGTAGTAACACACATTGTTTTTATTGTTACAAAAAGATCAATCATGCATCAAGACTACGCACATTATCTTTTTCCCTTCTCGCTTTCCTTTCCACTGCAGGAAAGAAAAAAAACATGAAACCCAAAAACCATGATACACCGTTTGCATCAATTGCATCATCTTCATCATAACGATAATACGTAACGACTTTTAAATAATTTAACGCACCACGAAAATCTCGCATCATTATCATTTTCTCCCGATGTGGTCTAAAAAAAAATCGTGAATGTTAGAGTACATGATGTATATTTATACAGAATTCCTTATGAGAAATAATTGACGATTTGGCTGAAACACAAGACATTATCCATTAACGTTAATAAAAATAAATAAATAAATAATAAGTCTTAAAAGCCTCACATTACATAGTCACCTTAAATATTGTTTATTTTGAACGGTTTATAATTCATTAAAAAATAAAGTTCTGACAAATTATTCTTCATAGCCACGCGCGCGTGTTTTTTCTATATAAATTTTTTTGATGTCTGCCACTAATTAATTTATTTACACTTGTATTAGTAGATATAGATATAGATATATATATACACATTAGTACCATAGCCCCATACGACATCATCATCGTGTATCGGCAAGGCGTGAACATCTACATAACAACAAAACCCACCACTTTGTTCAAACGCGTATTTCTCTCCTCATACTACTAAACAAAAAAGAATAAGCCTACGTTTTTTTTTTGATGATTATATACTTTTATAATATGATGATAGAAACTAGTATTAGACTTTAAACTTCTTTACAAGATTAGATACCCATTATCACATAAACCATTTATTATTTTCCATAATCCAATAGAAAAAAAACTAAAATCACCAACAAAAAAACACAAACACATTCAGCTTAAAAGACGATTATAGATATTGGAAGAAGGCGGCTGATAATATTTGTCGAGTTTTCTATGAAGTAATACAAAAATAAAAAAAATGCGGTCAGTAGCACTTGAAGAATAGTGATAATTATTATTTTGAAACAAAAGATTTTTGTTGGTTATTTGTGGTTATTTTTATTTTTGCCCAATGTTGTTTTGTCCCGACGAGGGGGAAAAAGGGTAGTGAAGGTGGAAAATTCGGGGGAAATCTACCGACAGTGAATTAACAGCTAGCGGTGATGGTGGTGACAAATAGTAGTAGTAATGGTAATGGTAAAGATATTCAAAATCAATTAATAACCATAAAAATAATATACTATTACAATAGAACACCGAGTACAACTCATTGGGTGTTTTGGTATTACGCAACAGACGATGATCGAAGATATTGCGGAAACTTGTGTATCATAGCTTTTTCAGTAGTAGGACTACTACTGATTACGCTATTCGGATGCTGTCTCTATCATCTAGCGATAAAAAGATGTTTGAAAAGAAATCGTAGAAAGATTCAGACCGAATCCGCCATCCGAATATTGCGTGATCCAAAAATGCCACCTTTATCTACATCAGCGACCTCATTCAATCAACAACAGCACGATTATTATTATCATCCACAAGCTGGAAATGCCCGGTTTCCGTACAATAATAATAATAATAACAATAATAGTCCGGATTATTATTCACCATATCCTTCATTAGATAATAATAATAATAACAATAATGATGACGACAAGAGAAATCAATTCATGAACTATAACTCCTCGTCGTCACCTACGATATTATATGAATCGATACCGCCACCTCCCGCGTACTCCTCATCGTCACCCTATTATAGTTCAAATACTAACATTAGTCGTCAACAACACCCGAGAAGAGTCTCTATCTCCACGTCTTCGGTATCAAGGGGTTATTATAACAACGAAAAAACGCATTCTGGGCGTCGATTTTCTGCTTCATGGGTCAATGAAAAGAATAGTAGTAATAATGTTAATATTATTGGTATTAATAATAATTACCTCAATTCCTATTCAAAAAGAATTTCTGTATCATCATTAACAGGGACGAAAACTCCAACGCGAAGAACTTCTGTGTCATCGATGACCCCTTCGCGCAGAGGATCACTAACAAGAGTCAGTGAGTACGAGTCACGTGGAATAAAATCATGCACCGAATTAATAAGTGTTGATATAGGAGATGTTAATGAAGAAGAGGAGGAAGAAGAGGAGGAAGAAGCAGAACAACAGCAGCCAGAACAAGAAGACGAATACGACGACGACGATGGAACCACCTTAGGAGCGAAAGATGAATCAGATGTATCGTCAATAATGTCAGATTCGATGGTTGACACAAACAAATTATCGTCTCCGTCCGGCGCTAAAGAATTGATCACCGCCACAGATAAAGCAGTTGCAGCCACAGATAAAGCAGTTGCAGCCACAGATCAGGCCATCGCGGTGTATCGAGCTCGACGTGAAAGCCTAAGGAAATTTTTGGAGAGTAAATCATTGGATGTTAGTATTGATGATGATGATGATGATGCTGCTGCTGCTGTTGTTGATGTTTCTTCTGTTATTGTTCCATCGTCACATGAACAATTTACTGGTATTGTATGATGATTATGATGAAGAAACCACCACCACCACCGCCGCCGCCACAATGACATACCATCACCACTTCATAGCTCACGCCATTATTATGACGACCAAAACGATAAAAGAATTAATTGCTAACTATTAAACAATACTAGATATAACAAAGTGTGTATTATATTTTATATATCTAGTCTTGTGTTCGTTTAGTTTTCTTTTTGTGTAAAAAAAATGATTTTATCGTTGTTCTCTAATCAAAGAAAAGTTTACCTTTTTTCCAAAAGAACAAACTTTTGAAAAAAGCAAAAGGTATATTATTAATTATTTTCTATTTTTTACTATTTGTATATGTATTTATTGTACTGTGTTCATTTGTATCTATGAAAAAAGGAAAAATGTGGTAATTATTTTTGATTAGTTAGTTATTCATTCATCGATTTTTTGGGATTTGCGGTACTAAATAAGGGTAACAATAAAAAATAATGTTGATGGCTTCCACTTTATACAAAAATACCCTCGACCCTGCGATATAGTGAAGTATAATTAAAATCTCGACATAATGAAGGTTGAACTCTAATAACTTGGTAATCCATTATATAAATCTCGATATAATGAGGAATGGAGATTCCAAAAATGTTCACTAACGGTCCGAGATTCCCTTTGTATATGAATAACACTTGCTTTTTTCCGTGTATCCGAGTTTTTATGATAGTTTAAAGCTTTTTTGGTTTGTGCCTAATAAATTCACCGCAATTTTTGGACCAACACCCTTAATTTCTTATGTTGGCCAAAATTATTGATAACATGCTACGACTTGAATTATGGCTTGATTTTTAATTCTGGCCAAAATTATGTATAATTTTTTCAATATTAATGCCAATCATACATTATTACATGATTTGTTTGGCTTAGCTGGTTTTTCTAAGACGATTCAACCTGCTGAATAATTTTTCGCATTCATAATAAATTTATTATTTATGTTAGCTAGCTGGCTTGAAATCGATAGCTTGGATTACTAATAGATACTTAATTTAAGTAAAAGTTAGTTCAATTATTTTGAAGGTATTTAATTGTGTATAAAATCTAAAGTCATCAAACATTTGTATTTTATAAAATGTATAAGCTTCTTTACTAAAATGTAAATTCAAAATTTAATCCACAAATATGATAAAATAGATCTTTTCTGAGCATATTTATGAATTAAATTTTGAATTTACATTTTAGTAAAGAAGTTTATATATATTATAAAAATACAAATATTTGATAACTTTAGATTTTATGCACCATAAACAAAATAATATTATTAAAATTAGATATTGATTAATTAACAAATAATTTGATTGTATTATTATAATCTGAATATTATTATTTTATTGGTTAATTCATATTATAATTTAATTGGATAAGATTTTGTTATATTTTATTAGTTAAAATTTAGTTTTAATTTAATTAAATAATTAATTATTCCTGTTATGATTTGGTAGTTACAAAAATAATTATAAATAATTATTATATATATTTATTTGAAATAATCATTTACAATAAATAATTATTTCAAACAATTATTTAATTGATCATTCCAAATAATTATTTCAAGCAATTATTTTAAATAATTATTTTAAATAATTATTTCAAATAATCATTTCAAATAATTACTTCTTATTTATTTATTATTTATAAATAATATATATATTTTAATATAGAAAAATAACAAGTTGAATATTAATAAGTTAACAAGTTAGTTAATTATTTATTTTTTATTTTAATTTTTTATCTTAACTGCAAAATTATTATATTTGTCTTATAATTTTTTATTTTAATTAGAATTAATAAATGAATAATTAATATTTACTTGTTTAAAAACATATTTAAAGATTATTTATTTGAAAGATTTTTGATTTTATTTTAGTTAATTAACAAAATAAATATATTATTTATTTTTAAAATAATAATCTCTTTTACTTCAAACTAATTTTATATAAATCTCTCACATTCAATTCATCTTACATGTTATTTATATATCTTTTCATAACAAAGCTTAAAAATATATAAATAATAATAATATCATTTCTTGATTCTGATATAATACAAGTAATCTAAAGATATTTAATATATTAAATTATAAAGAATTTTTATTCAACAAAAAAAATATATTGCTAAATAATTAAAACTTTGTTCAAATCAGATTAGATCAGATTTGAAATTAATTCAAACTGATAATTTTGGATCAGATCAGATTTAGATTAAGTTTAATCTAAAAATTCTAAAATAGTTTTTTTATTAATAACTTTTACTTTTACTAAAATATTTGTATTTTGTGTTTAAATAAAGTTGTTTTGAATATACTTGTGTATATACTCACAAATTTTTGTTTAATTCTAATTAATATTGAATAAAAAATAATATTTTTTAGACTGATCTGAAATATTTCAGATCAAATTTGATTCCAATTTGATTTAACTTGAAATATATATTCTGAATCAGATCACGAATTGAATTCAACCTGATTAAAATATTATAAATAATATTTAAAAAAAATATATTTTTTTTGTGATTTAAATATTTGAATACAAATTTTTATAGCTTAAAAAATTGTATATATTTAATATTCTTAGACTATTTATATTATAATATATAAATAAATTAGTCTAAATTTTATTAATATTAAATAATTTGATGATATATAATTAAAAATGTTTGCTCATTTTGCTAATCAAATTGAAACTGTGATAAATTTTTGAATTAATTTTTTATAAAGTATAAAATATAAATCTTTTATTTAGATATTAACAATAATATTTTTATTAATTTAATAATAAAAGATCAAATATTTTTTTCTAGAATACTATATTATATTAATTATAATTCTTAATAATATATAATAAATAATTAATAAATAATTAAAAACTTGAATTTATAGTAATAAAAATATGATTTTAAAATAATTATAATCAAGTTTTTTTTATAATTATTAAAAAGTAAATTAGATAATTATAAAGAGAATATAATTATAAAAAAATTTTTTTATTATATTTATATATAAATAAAAAAACAAAATAAAATAATTATAGAAAAATATAAATATAAATATAAATATAACTATAAAAAATAATATTATTAGTTTTAAACTCTAACTTTAACAATTTATATAATTTATATACTATATAATTATTAATAAATAATATTAATTTTATATATAGTCAACACGAAAAGTAATGATGATCATGTTTTTTGCCGAAATTCATCAATATCTTAACAAGAAATTACTCAAATATCGTAAATAATCAGCATTATATTCTTTAGAATGACAGAAATAAAATTTTCTAAAATCACAAAGCGTGTTAACATAGTAATATTTTGTGTAATCACGTGCTAAAGATAACTAGCTGAATGATTATTCTGATTAAAGAGCTATAAAAAATTATTTAAAAAAATTTTAGTTGATATTTATTGAATAAATACCAGTCAAAAAAAACTTAATTTTAATAAATTTCATAATAAAATATAATAAAAATAATATTTTTATTATATTTTACTATATTTTACTATATTATAAAATTTATCAAAATTAAGTCTTTTTTTAACTGGTATTTATTCAATAAATATCAACTGAAAATTTTTTTTAAATTACAAATATATTTTTTACATCTTTAAATATATTTCTATAAAATTATTTTCATACTTGCTTATAAAAAATTTTTTTAAATAATTTTTTATAGCTCTTTAACCAGGATAGTCACCTAGTTCACCATCTTTAACACGTGATTACACAAAATATTACTATATTAATACGCTTTGTGATTTTAGAAAATTTTATTTTTGTCATTTTAAAAAATATAATATCAAATTTTCGTAAATTTTAGCAATTTCTTATCAAGTTATAGGTGAAAAACATGTTTATTATTACTTTTTGTGTTGATTATATATTAAAAAAATGATATTTATTTTTATTAAATATATGTATATATATATATATATATATATATATATATATATTGTTATCATTTATGTTGATTTTATTATTTTTTAAATATAAATCATGTGTTCTTCACATGTTTCAATTAGGTAGGAGAGTTATTAAAGATTTTTATATGTTTTAAATAATTAAGATTGGGAGAGACTAATTTAATAAAGGTAAATAATAATATATATGTTCATTTTGTTGAACTGCTAGAATAAGTTCAGAAATTTTCTTTTAATTCAAATAATTTAGTTATTAAGTAATCTTCTTTTATTAATTAACTTTTTAATAAAATTATCTTCTTCTTTTATTATAAATTTAAATAATATTAATTAACTTCGCAGAGTAATGATATGAAGTTAATTATGTTATTATAGATGATATTGCTTGTTACAAATGAGAGATTTTTTAAATATAAAAGAATACTAATAAGAAAGAAAAAAGATAATTAATACTTGATTGAAAATTTTCAACTCAAGACTTATAATATGATTCATTTTTAAGAAGATTTTGTTAAAGAAAATTAAAGTAGATAAAAAGATTATAATTTAAAAAAATTAATATTCAAAAAAATTAAGAATTTAGAAGATTCAAAAGTGTAAGAAGATTAATTCTCCAAAAGATTAAGAATCTAAAAGATAAGAAGATTATTTTTCTAAGCTAAGATACATATTTTATTTATATAAGTTATTTTTACTCAATTTTTAAATATTAAAGTTAGTTTTGATTAATATTATAATTACAAAAAACACTCACTTGATGGTTCTTGCTTAATGGTTATACATCACTTATTCTAATATTACATAAGTTTCACTATTAATATTAATCAAATTTGGTTATGTAGATTAATTAATACATATTTTTTATACTAATAATAATAATATGAATTAAATATGATTAGTATAAATTATAATTAATGTAAAATGAAATAATATAAAAATAAAATAAAATAAAATAAAATAAATATAAAAATATAATAAAATATAATAAAATAGTATAAAATAAAAATGAAATAGTATAAAATATAATAAAAATATAATAAAATATAATAAAAATAATATGAGTAAAATATGAATAATATAAAATAAATATGAATATAATTTACAAATTACATGTAAATTAATTATTCAATTAAAATAAACTATAAAAAATTATGTGATATATCAAAATTTATATTACAATAATATTATTATAATAGCTTACTTAATATAAAAAGTATTTAAATTCAGAATTAAAAGTAAAATATATGACTAAAAATAATATAATAAATATATAATACTTATTTATTATTTATTATAACATATTATAATACAAAAATTTTATAAGCTGTAACTAATTGTAACTAGATAATACTTTATTTGTTATCATATTATAATAATTATTATATCATCTTTATATATAATATTATTAGATCAAAAAAAAATTTGCTCAAAAACTAATCAAATTGTTTGATTTTTAAAAATTAAGCAATTTAAATGAAAATTTGTTAATTTAATAATATTATATATAGTATTTTTATGAACTAAACTAAATCAAACTTTTACTTGAATTCAAGTTTGGTTCAAAATTTGAATTAAACTTTGATTTGAATCAAAATTTGAATCAAACTTTGATTTGAATCAAAATTTGAATCAAACTTTGATTTGAATCAGATTTAAACTAAATTATTATATAAGTTTAAGTCTGATTCGAGTTCGATTAAAAATTGATATATAGTATTATATATCAATTTGTAATTTTAAATATGAGCTATAACTTTAATTAAAAGTATAATTTATAGTATTAAGTAAGAATTAAAAGTTTATATAGTGATAACTAAATATTATATAACTCTTTAAATAATTATTATTAATAGTAACTTATATTAATTTATAACTTTTATTTCTAGTTATAAGTTTACTTATAATTATAGTTTATAGTTACTATAACAAAATAAATATTTGTTATATTATAAATAAAGCAAATTAAAATTATAATAATTAAAAATATTTATTAAAATTTATATAACTTTTTTGAATATTTATTCTAAATATTAATTATTTTATATTAATTTGTAAT